CCCTGCGTTGGATAATGAAATCCAGCAGGTGATGATCGCTATTGCCCAGGTGGTCAAGGACCTGCAGTCCCCTCACCAGGTCATCCCCCATGGCCAGGACCAGGTCCAGCAAGGTGTTACCCCTAGTGGAGCTGTGCACTTCCTGGATAAGGTGAAGGTCCTGTAATATTGCCAGGAACCTACACAAGCGGTCAGACCTGGCTGTCTGCTCCTCCCAGCAAATGTGTGGGTACTTTAGGTCCCCCATGACAATAACATCCCTTGACCTAACTGCCTCCATAAGCTGACTGGAGAAGTCCTGGTCTAGCTCTTCCCCCTGGTTGGGTGGTCTGTAATAGACACCCACCTTAAGGTCCCTTTCACCATGCCCCCCTTGTAGTTTGACCCATAGTATCTCTGCCCAACCCTCCTCTAACCCAAAGCTAATCCTTGATGATGTGAGGTGTTCTTTGACATAGAGCACAACCCCCCCACACCTTTCCTCTCTGTCCTGTCTCTTCTATATAGGGTGTACCCCTGAATGCCCACCGCCCAGTCGTAGATAGGGTCCCACCAGGTTTCTGTGAGCCCTACTAAGTCTGGGTTCTTACAATCAGAAGGCACAGTTCCTCCTGCTTACACCCCATACTACGAGCATTAGTGTAGAGGCACCTGAGGCCTCCTGAGGGTGCATGTGCCTCCCTCCCACTCCCAGGACAGTTGTGGCCCCCTGCTCCCCAGACATTGATGCTTACCTGGGCTTCCCTTCTTCTTGTCACCCTGTGTGCTGGTGAAGCATCCTCTCCACTCAAAGTGGCCCCTTCCCCCAGCGAAGCTAGTTTAAAGCCCGCCGTGCGAGATCAGCCAACCTAGAGGAAAAGATAAGCAACCTAGAGGAAAAGATAAGCAATTGTGATTGCTTATTGTAATATAAGAATACTTGGTTTCTATCTAGGCAGAAAAGGTTCTGCCTATGTCCTTAGACCAACACGGCTACAACCTAAACCCCTGGTTTCTATCTAGACTTTTTCCCTTTAAATTAAACAGACCCATGGATCTACATTCTGTTTAGTATAACAAAAAAAATTGTGCATCTGTTTAAAGGGATGAAAAATGCCTTTAGAGAGCCATTAGTGGCCTGAAGTAGGCAGTATTACAAATTAATCTGTCTTGCAAAGTCTTACTGCTCAGTTTATTTTTTATAATATAGACATAATAGCTCATGTTTATTTTTATCTAGCTTGAAAGCTAACAAGTTTAGCAAAGTCAAAAGCCACTTAGGCTGTGATATACTATACTACAACAAGCCAATGATTCTCAAACAGGATCCCATGGAACCCTGGAGTGCTCTGACAGCCTTTGAAGGGTGCCACCAAAAGAAAGGGGATAAGCAAGAAAGTGAAGGCCCTGTTGAGGAGTTAAGTGCAGGCTCTTTTTTCCATCTGCTTCTCTTCTCCCTGCAATGCAGGTTCCCCCCTGCTGGCTGTTCTTCAGCCTTCCTTGCCCCTTTTCAAGGAGATAAGCACTATAATAAATACATTCATTTTTAAAATGAGGTGCCACTCAATTCACAACAGTTATGGAGGGGTACCTCCAGTCCAAACAGGTTGAGAACCACTGTGATAAGCACTTAAATTTGTCAGTTTCACCTGGTTGCCATCTTACAATAAAAGCCAAATACTAGTTTTTCAAGAGAAAAATAACACGGTCTAAAAATAAGAAATAAGGCTGAAATAGACAGCCCTAGTCATTCAGTTGCTCAGGTAAACACCACCTGAGATTTTGTCTTGCATAAGGCCACAGTGTGGAACATCCCTTTCCAAGACATCCCTTTAATAAGTTAATGCCTAAAAGTAATGTGTGTGTATTGACTTAAATAGAGATGGCTTCAACAACATGCTTACCTGCTTTCTGGAACTGATGATATATTCAGATAGAAAGGACAATTATAATCAATAAGATATTAGAATTATTTTTAACAATGATAAAAAAGCATTTCCATACGAAAAAACATGTAAATCATTTTAAGGTTCCTTAATTTGTGACCCCCTCGAACTAAAAACTAGAAGTCTGTCTCATTGAAAAACTAAGAAACTTTTTTGTACTGGGAGATAATTCCTGTGTTCACACCTAATGGGTCATTTGATACAAGGTCTCAAATCTGCTCTTGTTAGGTTTCAGGTCTTCAGGACTAAATGTTCTTTATCCACAGCTTCAGGCCAATTTTTGCTTTAG